AGATAAACACTAGTTTGTGGCAAACAAATGCCAATATAAGCAATAATATGAGAAATGTTGATTTTTGCCCGTAAGAAGGCTTGAAGTCGGCAATAAACTTATTATAATAGAGAGTTCACACTTCATGCAGCTCAAATCATTTTATATTTGAGTACTTTTCATTTCGATTAAGGAGAAAAGTCGACGTATGCTCATGTTGGCCCAATCTAAAGTGCAGCTATGACTGTAGATGTGTACGAATAAGATCCCGGCTCACCCTCTCTTTACCCCGGTGAATCCCTGCTGAACTTAATACATCATGGGACGAACGACATCAGAGTAGGGCACTATGCTGCAATCTCACTTACTTCTCAAAGCCTAATTTTTTTCACATGATTTGGCTGACTATCCTATGCTTGCTGTATGTTGAACGGGCTATGGATAACATGTAACATAGCCATAAATGTTGCGATAAGTGAACACAATTGTGACTGAACAGCTGCATCCCTTCATAAATTAACTTTTTCTCGTTATTTCGCGACATGTCAAGGTACCCCGTTGCATGTTTGTTGGGTTAATGCAACGTTCGTGAGTTGAGTGAGATGTTAGAACGAAAACCGTATACGAGGCTAATCCTGCTCGGAGATACTTCTTGTTTATTTATCCTCAATCTAGCTCTTCTTTTTTAATCCTATGCAATAGCCACATATAGTTTCCGCCTAATTTCAAACATTAATTCCTTTTATCAGAGGTTTAGCCAGTCTGCTGATTTCTATGGATTCCGTGTTTTTCCTTTTATTGGTATAATCGACATATCCAGCTAAGCTTTTGACGTTATAGCAAACTATCTGGTGTCCTGCTTACGCCATGTAATTTCCGATTTTTGGACTCAAAAACTTTTGCAGGATGTTTTATGTTCAGAAAATCCTTTGTATATTGGTCTGCAGGTTGCCTTACATAGACGTTACTGAATAAGCATAAAACATTGTAACAGCATAATCTAAATAGGGGATACGCAAATTGTTGGAAAGAAGGCATCAACGAGGAAAGTTTTATTTTCTCCTCATGCATTGACCTTATATACCACGTTCTCAGTAATTTGCCTATAGTTTTTGGAAGATGACAGGATAGAGGCATATTGACCCTAGTAAAGTAGTTCAGCTGTCTGTTTAAAAGTATGTATATGTTTCCCTCCATCCTATTCGACAATAATATACAATAATTGTCAATAAGCCCCAAGGGATAATTGTCTTTAATTAGGGTTCTCCTTAGTCGCTTAAATTCCTGGTTCAAATGAGTAATATTTACAAGAAGGAGGCTCCTTATTCATATTCATTTCATAACTTCTACTGTAATTTCATTAGAATAATTAAAAAACAAATCTAAAAGTAGTTTCTGCTACACATCATTATTTTGGTTTATTATTTACTAAATAGGATATCTAGCAAACGTAAACCATCTTTACTTTCAAATTCTATGGTAAATTTTATCTTCTTATCTACTCGATTCCTCAGCTATAGGAAATTTCCAAGGTTTTTTTTGTCATCTTGCTATATGGCAAAGTACGCATTCATGTAGCAAATAAACATTGTAGTGACTAAAATGGCTCCCCAAATTAAGCGTTCTGCATGCTTAAAATCATTTAATTGATGCAAAATTTTAGACGGAATATCTCAACATGGATGAAAACGATAGAAAATTTGAAGATATAGAGGTGGCACATCTAGTTTATATTATTATAAGAGCCGACCTAAATGGGCTGAATTAATAACGACGGTCTGCAATGCATAATATAACAGGCTTACCAAAGGTTGAATCTCAGGATAGACATCCTCGTACAGCTAAGTGCCAAATTATAGCTTTTTTCGATGCATTTTCTGGGAAGAGAGCTTAAGAAAATAATGAAATATATATTTCACAAAAGAAAGGAAAATTGACAGAAAATAGGTTAAATCCTTCATTATTTTGCTATCCCCCTAAGAGCTTCGAAGGATATGTAGCATAATTAATTAACGCCTGTAAGACTTAAAGCATAAATATCAGGAGACTTGCTTTAGGATCACTGTCCATATTTCTAGGCAAATAATTCTGATATGTATTCCCCCAAGTTCATTTAATATGATGGAGTATTGGTAGTACAATTTTCCCACAATAAGATGAGTAGAGCTGACGATGCGAAGTCGAAACTGCAGTCCACCCTAGATGAGAACAACTTTTGCAAAAGCAGGGTTATGTAAAATTCAATGGAAACGTCAGCTCTACTCATATAATTGTGAGAAATTTCTACTACCAGTTCTTCATCACATTAACAAAATTGGGTGAATGCATCTCATATTAGAGATTTACTGGTAGTCTCGAAACTCTGCTTAAATACAAAAAATAAGTAACATAGTCGATTGTTATAGCAAATATACGTTTGCTTCATGGAAAATCTCACCGAAGAATATGATATGGCAAAATACCTGGCCTTCCTTAAAATCCACATTCAGTCTGTGACCCAAGGACACTCGTGGCAATCTGGCAGAGTGGTTGACGTATCAAGCTCCCATTCTGCACTATCACGGTTCGACTCCCGCTGGGGGTGTTGATAAGACCGATGCGAGGTCGAAACTGCAGTCCACCCTGGATGAGAACAATTTTTGGGGAAGCAAGGCTATGTGAAATTCACTGGAAACGTCAGCTCTACTCATATCATTGTGGAAAAATTCTACTACTACTCCTTCATCATATTAAACGATATTAGGTGAAAACATAGCATATTACTGATTTAATGGTAGTCTCAAAACTCTACTTAAATAGAAAATAATTCTGGTTGACCCTAAAAGGATTAAGTAAGTTTCACATTTATCTTATAAGAATCTTGCCAAATATAGCCATATAATAAGATAATACTAAAATTTCTTTTAGGCATGGAACATAAAAATAAATATATAAATATATTGCCTGAAATTTGAGGAGTATCATGAACATATTAGCTAGTATGACTAAGTTTAATCTAGAGGAGCATAGAGGGATTATCAGGGATTTTGATCAAATTTTCAAGTGATCATACTGCGTATACTAATTAATCTTTATGGCATCACCTGGGAAGTTGGAAATAAACTTAGATAAAGCTTCCCTGCGATCAACTTCTGCTTAACTGATGTCGCAATATATCATTATATACACCAACCAGAATATAACAGTTCACGGGTCTTCCTCCCTCGTTTCAGGTGAAAACGTGCTGAGCTTTCGTCCATTATAGGATGGAAATCATCAGAGCTGGATGTAATTCTTCTAAAAGGCTTTCGTTAGCACGAAGCCAAGACAGCTCTGATGGTGCCCACCATATAATGCACGAAAAATCAGTATATTTTCACCCGAAACGAAGGGGGAAGTCTCGTGGACTGCGTCAACATGAATATCGTGTAAAAGCCAAGCGGCTGCAGAATATAACAGTTCATGGACTTATAGGGATTGACAAACTCGACAGAAATAATGTCCATTATAGTATGAAGTAAATATAGTGTAATCTCCTGTCTTCAAAATCTCAACCAAGTTGGGAATCCGGATTAAACCAACTTTACTTGGAAATGGAAAACTTTGAATAAATAAAGAACTACGTGACTTTAGCCTCTATATTTTTAGTCACGTATATTTTTTATTTCATTATAAGCAGACCAATTTAACAGCTAGTGGCCAGCAATAAATTAAAACTAATTATGGGTTAGAAACTAAGCTGCCAACTTACTTTACTGATACATTGATGGTTTAAAACCTCGAAAGAAAATATTTAGGTTTTCTGCCTTAAAAATATGGG